TTCGTCTGGTATACAACATTGTACAAAACTCCAAAAAAAAAATCGCAATGTTTAAAAAACTCAATATACAATAGTATATATCCATATACAAATATTATATGAAATTATAAGAGGTGTTTATACACAAATATACATTACTATACAATATTTACAAATACTAACTTCGTCTTCTTGTTTGAATTCAAACATCATATTCATCCAAAACATCTTTTAAGAAACTACATCAAATCATCCTAAATTTCAGATCTAAGCTCACCAGTACATACCCGATTTGTTGCAATAATAATTTTATATTTAATTATGTAACTTGACAAATACTTTTGAACGATCATTTTTAATAATGTTAACAACTAATATAAAATGGAGCTAGAGTGCTTATCGCACTGAGCTTTTGACCTGATTTAACTTTCTATAAACTCATTATCATACGCAAGATTAGATAGCACAAGTTTGTTTGTTTTTTCCTCAAATAAATAAGAAATTAATTACGTAATAGAGTAACAAATTGTACTGGATTTGAATTATTCTCAACTGCTACAAAGCATGAAATAGTCCTTTTCTCCATAATAAATTAATGACAACAACTTATTGTTATATAGTTATAGACCACTAATAATTTTCTTCTATACGTATTATTAATGAGGAGTTTAGTGGTTCAATTTTTTTAAAAAGACAAGTCAACAGGATGTGTCATTTTCCAAATTAATGGTTTCTAAATGTTCGATTAAAATTTCTGTTAAAGATATTTTAAACTACTTATAAGTTATTTGCTTGATTGCAAATTGTCTGATTATTAACGATAAGAGTGTATATTATACTTGGATGGTGTTTTGGATTAAAAAAAGGAAAAAATTACTTAAATACACAATACTTCTTTATCTATTCTCAATATTTCCCTACTCTTTTACTAAAATACAAAAATCCCTTATTTTCCCCCAATTCAACTTAACCGGATACTTTATTAGTTTAAGTATCCGCCCGTTATTAATTAAAGTATCCGCGCTGCTATATTATGCATCCGCCCGTTAATTAAGTATCCGTGCTGCTAACAACTTAATAATTTAAGTATCCGCCCGTTATTAATTAAAGTATCCGCTCTGCTATATTAAGTATCCACACTGCTATATTATGTATCCGAAAAACACTAAAAAAAGGGATTTTTGATAATTAATGAAAGAGTAGGGAAATGAAGTAATTTCTTTCTTATACTATGTCATTTGCCTAATTTTTACTTAAAAAAACACTTTGGGCCGGATGTATAGACTGGCCCAAGTGAGTTTAGATAATTGGGCCAGACTTGTTATGGTCCATTTAAACGAACGCAAAGACTTGGCCTTTTTCTTTGGATCTCAAAGACTTCTCGCTCGTCTCTCTTCCTAATCTCTTTCTTCGGTAGAATAATGAGAATGATTTGTTGTCGAATAGAAGAGTTCATTGGCAGTAATAATTAGAACGATTTATTATCGAATATAAAAGTTACTTGATACTTGTTGTTCATGAAAAATAATAGAAATTTCATAAAATTAATCGACGTGTACGAAAGTTGATCCAAACATCTTAGTCGATAGGGGGTGGGGGATGGTAAATTAAAAGGATAGTGATTTAACATGTGGCAAAATCTTGGACACATGTAGATCATGCGGGGATCCTTGGTTGTTGTGCTTTTATTCAATCAAAATACTATAAAATAATACAAAAACATTTTGCCAATGTAACGTAATCTTCAAATGTAGGATCCACTTTGTCATCTTCAAGCTTCTTGTCGGCTTATCCATTTAGTAGGACCCTTCATATTATCTCAAAATCTTTGACCCTTTTTCCTGTCATAAATATATAAAGAGACCATAAAAAAACACCCCTTTAGAGTAAATTATTAATTTTATTTTCTAACACTATTGATAGTCTTAAAAATATCCATCTACTTTAGATATAATTTTGATATGCAACATGACATAGCAAATAATTTCAAACTCTTGTAAGAGTATGAGGTTCTTCATAAAAATCGAAAGAATATTTAAAACACCCGTAAATTTAACGAGAATTTAGTGGTATTTCAGTTAGTAAATTTAGGAATGTTTTTGATACTTCGTATAAATAAATAAATATATAAAGGTATCATTTATTATACTTTCTATTTTGAGTACGTAAATTTTGTTTTCATTGTCAAGTTTGTATTCAAATTTGCATTCTCTACTGACTTTTGGAAGTATTTGTTTGTGTAACGTATCAAAAATCCTCATAAACAGATGAATCGTTACGTTGTCAATTTTGTTGGATGTTGGAGCGGTTATATATGTTTACCGGTAAAATGGTATAGTTAAATTTATAGAAGTGATTTAAGGAAGGATGAGCTATTTATAGAGAAAAAAAAATAAATTGGAAATAACTTGTGTTGGGGTTTGTCTCGCTATTAGTTTTTGAGAGAAGTATTGAACAGACTCATAAATTTGATGTAAATTATTAGTTTTATTCTTAAACTATTGATAGTTTTAAAGACACTTATCTATAATGGAATGTAAATACACTTTCGATCTTACAATATGAGTGAAATACATCCCTAAATTCTCATCAAGTTTAGGGGAATTCTATTAATTTTTTTATTAGGTCATTAACTCTTTAATTGCGTATTTACTCATTTTAATTTTCAGCTTTAATTACATTTTCACTAACGCCTTAATTTTACTATTAAAAAATTGGGGGAGAATAAGCACTCTCAGTCAACTCAAAATTTTATTCTCGAAAATAAGAGGAATGCTTATTTATGATAACTGGACAAAATTTCTTTAACTTTAAATTATGATTGTAATTTCAAATTTCTAAAAAATTAGAACTTGAAATTTCAATGTTGTGATTCTAATTTTTTAAAAATATATACTTTGACTCATAAGCTTATAATTTTTTTCAAAAGGAAGACTCGTAATTTTTCTTTCTAAAAAACTTATATATGCTCAATGCAAAAAAATTGTTCATATCACATTAGAAAATTTTATTAAAGAAAGTTATTATTAATGTTGATTTATTAGATCTCAGCGATCTTTTAGAAAGTTATGTGTATTTAAATATTTGTAATGACGTGTGTTGGTGTAATATATCATAAATATATTAAAATACAGTTGAAAATGAAATAAACAAAAAATGAATAAACTATCATTCAAGCTGAGACGTAGATATCTCGCTCTCTTTATCAAGATTCAAGTCCAATGCGGTATAATTTACACCAATCTGACAGTATCACTCTTGACTTGTCTCCTCCATGATACAATAACCCAACAACCTCGTACAATTCAAGTAAATCTGAATTAGTTGAAGAGTCCAAATATTTACATAAGAGCATCTTTCTTCAACATATATATAATTACTCTTTTTTATATTGTAAATTAGTTGAAGACTTAAAATATTATTATTCGTCTTAATTCTCTCTTTCACTACATTAACTTTAATATAAACACAATATAACACTTCTCATCTTTTCTTACACGCTTTCTCTTGTCTATCTCTTATGTACACAACACAAAGTAATTCACCCATTTTTTAAAATGATTTTCTCAAATTATAAAATCTTCATATTTGTTAAAAAAAATACTACCTTAAAAAATCTTAATTACATATCCACACAACTTCTAAGAAAAAAAAACAATATCCAAATCTAAGAAAAGATAATCCAATTTCAGATTTTTTTACTGTTTAAATCTAAATGGGGCAATTCTATTTTGTTTCATATATAAGTTGTACATTACATAACGACCGATCATATCAACATGCGAACAAATATGATTATATATCAATCAAATATGGTGTAGTCAATAAGATTGTTTTTATCTTAATAAAAATTTCAAGTTTGAATTTTAAATATGAAAAGATTTTTCATATAAAAGTTAAAACACGTAATAAAGTCCTGCTCGAAACATTTTGAGAGAAAAATAAAAATTAAACTGTTATATATCAAGGATTAAACCTCTGCATCTTGAGAAGAATTTACAATAAAATCAGATGAATAGACCATTGTACTTAATCTTGGAGTTTACCTCATTCACCGACAAAAAGCAAAATTGTTTTTTTTTAATCATATTTTAGAAACTCTAAGCTAGTAAGATTATCCTGAATAAGTATTAATATTTTTTTTTGGTTGTTCTTTTTAATATGATACATGTCTCACGTCTTTTTCCCACCAACTAAATAATAGAACAATCAATTAATTAAAGTCAGTCATAACTTCCATACACTGTACGTATACACAATTTTTATTTTATTTTTGTAATTTTGCTAAGAGCACAAGATGGATAATGAAGAAGAAGACTCACTTTTTGTTGCTTGGTCCGATAATATAAAATGATAAATCGAGTGTGATGATTTGTCATGCCATTTATTTAAGTACTATATTATTTCGTTTATTTTGATTTTTCTATTATTTTTAATAATTGATATTAATATTTTATTAATTATCGTATTCATATTAATTGATACATGAAGAAAAAAATTATTCATTTATTAAAATTGACAAATAAAAATGAAAATTTATTTCTAAAAATATAAACAAATAGTAATAATTAGTAAAAGAAAGTATTTGACATATATTTTATCATGTAGAGGTTTTATATAAATAATTTTTACATAATAAACAGTCATTATAATATATGTCTATAACATAAAACTCTTTCATTCTTTTATATTTCGTGTCACCCAAATTATATTACATAAATTATAATATATAGATTATTTAATTACTTTTTCTTTTCTTATTACTACAATTAAAATTTAAAATTAAAATTGCGTCACCGATCTTTTCACGTGTCTCACTCTCTCTTCCTTTATTCTTTCCCTTTTTCCTCTGTTTTTTTTTCTGGAGAAATTAAAAAGCTGTGGGCCTTTTACGTTTTATCTGATCCTTTTTTTTGTGCTTTTCCTATAAAAACTCACTTGAATCTCCTCAAATTTCAACCAAAGTTTTTTATTTTATTTTATTTTGTTGTTGATAGAAGAAAAAAAAAAATTTAAAAAATAAAATGGAAGGAACAAAAAAAACTAGCAGTTGTTCATTTACTTCTGATCTTTTTGGTTCTAAAGAAACTTCTGCTTCTTCATCTTCTTCAATTTTTGGTTCCATTTTCCCTCCTCCTTCCAAGGTATCATTCTTTTTTTTCTCATGAAATTTTATAAATTTTGTAATGAATAATGGTATTTTATGATTTTTTTTGTTCTTTTCATATATTTGTAACATTTGATTGTTGTTTAAGGAGAAAAAAAAAGGATTTTTTCCTTCAAGTTTATATTTTTCTTGATATTTTGTTGTTTTAGGTTAAAAAAATTGGGGAAAAAAATATAATAAAAAAGGTGAAAAGAGTGGGGCGTTGAGAATATTGTTTTCTTGATTCCCTTTAAGAATTGTGGAATTTTAGCTTAAATTTTGAATTTTGAGTTTTTTTTTTTTTTTGTGATAGAATCTTTTTTAGACAAGAATAGAATAGGAAAAGCAGAAGTTGCTATATTCTGTTTGGATTGTACTATTAATTTTAGTGATGATGCCTTTTTGACAAAAGGTAATGCTAAACTTAAATAGAATGTTCTTTCCTAGTATTTTGGATGTTATAATGGCTATGATCTCATAATTCTTTTCGTGTTTAAGGGACATGGATCGATGAATTCGGAGCAATTGAAGCATGATCCTGTGATTCAGGATAGAAATGCTAAAGGTGGAGACTCAGGTTAGTGAAGTTAATAGCTTTGGACCTGATAGAACGTGACTTTCTGAGATAATAACTATAAGTTGAGTGATCATATGAGTAATTAGCCTCGATCGCTTGTATATTGTAGTATGTAATGGAAATGATTAAAGTATGTATATTGAAGAAACATGACTTTCTGAGATAATAACTATTAGTTGAGTGATCATATGAGTAATTAGCCTCAATCGCTTGTATATTGTAGTATATAATGGAAATGATTAAAGTAGGTATATTTTTTCACGATTCGTAAAATATTCAGCCAGAGCTCCTCGTGTATTAAGAGTAAGGTATTGTAATGTAGCAGGGGAACCCTCATTAGGGTAATTCCTTAAGAACACAACAAAAATGTTACCAGATTTTGTATTGTGGTTAGTCTATAGTAGAATTGAAGAAGATCAACTCTTATTCCTAATCACAATCTAATAATCTATGGTGCTCGGACTCGCCAATAGTGTTGTTGCATACTCCACAAAGGCACTATTTCTGGAGTTGCCGACATGCGAAATTTTTGAAGAGTCCGAGCAAGATTAGATTTAATTTATGTAAATTGCATAAATATAAGCTTTCCACTTGTGGTGAGAGTAGTCTCTTTGAAATTATGCTTTAATGGCTAGTTCCATTTCTTTTAGTGAAGGATATATACAATGAATTCCTCTGAATATCAACATATTTGTTTATTTGACATTTTTCTTGTATATTTCATACCGATAAAAACGTGAATTTCAACCTGCTTTATTTCCACTTCCGTTTTGCAGGAAGTACTCCTACTAGCAATGAAGCTTCCAGCCAGCAGGCTGGACAAAACAAGCAGCCGAGTTCATTTTATCAGAACGAAAAAGTACAGCCATGCCATCTTAGCTCATCGTTATACTACGGGGGCCAAGATGTCTATTCATTTCCCCAAAATAATAATCAGAGCTCTACATACACAACTGTGAGTACATATTCTCGCGTATTAAAAGTAAAAGACAAAATTGCATGGTATTGAGATCTATTGGTGCAACGCTTCTATGTTTACTAATGGTTCCTTTGTTAATGATCTTTTGCTCCTTGCAAGATGATGTAGTTTTTATTAGAACATTTAAGTGTTTGTATATTGTTAAATTGCATGGTAGAAGTATCTGAATTCGGAATTTAGAGTCGTGGGTTCATAGTGATTATGTTAAATTATGTACATGTATATGTACTACATATTCACTATCTTTAATTTTGTATATATGCACGAACACATGGTTCAAACCAAAAGAACGTCAAGGAGGCCTGGATTTTAGTTTGTTTGATCTGCCAGTGGAAGTATTTGAGACAGATATTGATTGGATTATTTTTTCAAGAACGTCGAGGAAGCCTGGATTTTAGATGCGGAAGCTGTCATTGAAGAAATAGATGATCGGTTTTTGCTCCCTACCGATATGAGGGAGACTTGTAATTCATTGTTTATATCCCATTTTAATTAGAGTTATAAGGCAGAGTCAATTAGGCAAGGGTTAGAACCATCACCTGTGTTCTTATGGTCATTTGCTTATTCTTATGTTTCTAATTTTCTTCTTCTTTGATTTCGAATTGAGCGCAGTTCAACAAAGATAATGGAGAAGATGATTCTGGCAGTGCGTCTCGAGGAAACTGGTGGCAAGGTGTGTAGTTTTGATTCTTCTTTTTTTATAACAGAGAAATTTCAAAGGGTGTTTTGACGCACAGTTCGAAACTCAATGGATAATAGGCGCGTTTGTCGGCCTTTTTTCACTCAAACATAACTTTTGTCCGTGTAGAGTTAGAACTCATGACGCACGCCTAATGTTCTTATCCGCGTATGATGAATCTTGTAAAGATGGATCTTGGGCCTAACTCAACCTCAAATTTTTTACTCAAACATAACTTTTGTCCGTGTAGAGTTCGAACTCATGACGCACGCCTAATGTTCTTATCCGCGTATGATGAATCTTGTAAAGATGGATCTTGGGCTTAACTCAACCTCAAAAGCTAGCTTATGAAGGGAGGATTGTCCAAGTCCATATAAGGAGACCAAATTTCCATCCCTTTTTCGATGTGGGAATTCTTAACACTCCCCGCACGCCCAGACCTTGTTAACTGGAACATGGACACTATAATATGGGGGCCAACATCGGTGAACAAAGAAATTAGGATGGGCCTGGCTCTGATACCATGTAAAGATGGATTTTGGGCCTAACTCAACCTCAAAAGCTAGCTTATGAAGGGAGGATTGTCCAAGTCCATATAAGAAGACAAAATTCTCATCCCTTTTCCGATGCGGGAATTCTTAACAAATCTCATTCTTATTATTTATTAACAATACATGGTTTTTTATTTTGCAGGGTCTCTTTACTACTAGAGCTCACCACCAATGACATGGATGTTACATATTCTCAAAAGGTATAATACAAAAGACTTGGTTATGTTTATCTTATTCTTGATAAAAGTTCCTTTGGTTTTTGCTATCTCTGGTTAATAAAAGACCAGTCTGGTGCACAAAGTATCTGCGTTCGCAATTGCTTACCTAATTTTTATGTCTTGTAGGCATTTGCTTGTTGATTCTAATCTTACCTTAAATTCCATGCAACTTTTATTTTATTTATGCTTGAAACATACTACTAATATTGATTTATCTTCTTTTCATTTTGCACCTATTATGTTATATGTTCTTTTGGTTGAATTTTTTCTGTGTCTTGTGGCAGGAAGTTAAATATATAGAGAAGCAGTTATCTACCTCAATATTAAAGATGGATGATTACTAGTAATTAGCCAAAGAGACCAGTAGTTGGTTGAACACTACAGATTATAATTATAATAATATTAGTATATGTAATTGGTAGTTAATTAGTCTTTTTCTGTTACATGTAAAGGATTATAGACCTTATGCACTTCGCTTTATAATGTAAAGACAATGTTTAGGAACTAGCTTACAACTTTTGTGCCTATGGACTTTTTTTGTTTGGGTAAAAGAGTTTCTTTACTCCTTTAAATTTGCCTCAAGGTTAATTGCAAACAACAACAATATGTTCAGTGTAATTTCACAAGTGAAATTTAGGTGTAATTGACTTGGAGCGCATCGATGTATCTTCACTTGTATGGCTGTATTGTCTCACCCCGTTTCCCTTATCTTGTCCACAATGGAGGTTGTCACCTTCATGTCCTAAGTAGCTTCATTCTTAACCCTAACACTTTTAGTATGCCTACATAATCATCTCATTCTTAATTTTGTTACTCTTTATCTTCTAGACGTGTACGTAGTTCTTGAACATACGTGGTTTGATCACAATTTATAAAATTCACCTTTAAGGTTTGGTGGCACATTCTTAAGACACAAGACACTAACTTGAAGTTTTTATTTCAACCACTCATTTTACGCCGTACAATAGCATCATTAATCTCCACCACTCACTTTACGCCGTACAATAGCATCATTAATCTCCACCACTCATTTTATGCCGTACAAAAGCATCATTAATCTCCACCACTCATTTTACGTCGTACAATAGCATCATTAATCTCCACCACTCATTTTACGCCGTACAATAGCATCATTAATCTCCATCACTCATTTTACGCCGTATAATAGCATCATTAATTTCCTCATTTTCTTGAATTATTGACCCCACATATTTATAGTTTTCTTTTTAAGATGACTTGTGTATCATCCTTATGTCAACATTTGTCACGTGAGTTACATCACTGAACTTGCACTCCATGTATTCTATCTTAATCTAACTCAATTTGTACCCTTTAGACTCAAAGGTCTGTTTCCAAGTTTTTAGCATATCATTAACTCTGTTGTGTCTCATCTCAAAACTATTTGATGCACCTCAATACAATTAAAAATAGGCTAAGAGTGATTTCTAATACAACCCTATCATTACTGAAAAGTGACCAGAATCTTCTTCCACTGTCCTCACTAAGATCTTGACTAATGACGAGGAATACTTCCTACCCGAACAAGTTTTGTGGGGACAATGAGAGGGAGTGTTTGAATTCATTCCAAGGACTTGAATCAGATAGCTTTTGCCAAAAATGGAGAGGTATATTGTACTTTTTCATGATATTCGCTTTCGTTAAAGACGACTTCATTTTCAAGGCTTGAAACAGAGACTTCTATTTAAAAATGAATGTACACTTATCATCAAGAACAATATTTGTAGTGACGATAAAAAAGACTGTTCCTTACTAAAAACGACTTCATTATCAGAAATGAAAATTGAGATTCATAAATATAATACTTATCATCCCATTATTACTATTTAAAAAAGACACATTATTAACCAAAGACAATTTCTTTTCCTGAATTTAAAGACCTCTTATATGAATATAAAAGAATATTACAATGAAAATGACTTGGTTAATTAGAACATTTGGATGTAACTATTTGTCCTCCTTCTATGGTTATTATTCAAGTCAACATTATCTCTAGATATTTTATTCTAGAAGTTGTCTTTTGATAATACCAATGTTTATTTCTTTTTTTTGGTTCATTGTCCAATCAAAACTTAAACTAGTTGTGTAGATAAAGAACTCTTGGTTGTCAAATACACACAATTAATATTTCTGTTGGAATCATATGCTTTCAATAATTTTCTTATCCATTTTATTTTTGTCCACCGACTAACCGTCTAGAACTGACTTATCTTTAAATAACTTTGACTGAATTGTTCCATATCCCAACTATTTTTATTTTGTTTTTGGACAAAGACAGGTTAATATGAGGATGAAAATGAAGTTCAATCAATGCTACTTATTATAATTGATAAAAATATATGTATATGTGTCGATATACTAACATACTACCTCCGTCCACAATTGTTTGGCAGGTATACTAAAAATAGATGTCCAAAATTAATTGTCAATTTAAACAATCAAGAAATAATTAGTCACTTTTTTCCAATTCTGTCCTTAATGATTGTGTAGTTCAATTGAAAAGTTATGTGGACTTTTGATATTCTTGATATAGTAGGGTTATATTAGTCAAATTACACTTTGTATTAAATTTTCCTTGAGGGATGTGCATGACCGTACCCTGACAAATAATTGTGGACGGAGGGAATAGTAACATGTCTTTTTTTTTTTATTGTGATATGATATAATAATTTTTTATACTTTTTTTTTTCAAAGACAGGTTAATATGAGGATGAAAATGAAGTTCAATCATGCTACTTATTATAATTGATAAAGATATATGTATATGTGTCGATATACTAACATAGTAACATGTCTCTTTTTTTTTTTTATTGTGATAAGATATAATAATTTTTATTTTATTTTTTTGGACAAAGACAGGTTAATATGAGGATGAAAATGAAGTTCTATCAATGGTACTTATTATAATTGATAAAAATATATGTATATGTGTCGATATACTAACATAGTAACATGTCTCTTTTTTTTTTTATTGTGATGTGATATAATAATTTTTTATACTTTTTTTTTCTTTTTATAAGAGATTTTTATTTTTACAGATAAAAATCTGAAAAAGGTCATTTGATTCAATATCGATAAAATGACAAAAATAAATATGCCGTTTCCGGGGATCAAACTCTAAAATGAAAAAAATAAATATGTCGTTGCCGGGGATCAAACCCGGGTCACCCGGGTGACAGGCGGGAATACTTAATACTGTACTACAACGATTTATTGGTTTAATGGCTCCGTGATTTGAGTATATAATAACAATTAAAGAACACGAACATAAAATCACACTCGAGCACCTTAAAGATTCAGCGCTTCAAGTTATAAAAATCAAATCTTTAAAGAAAGAAAATCAGAAACAGTCTCTTTATCTTTTTAAAATAATGATAAAATTGCGTACACATTAATCTTTGCAGATCCCAAATACAAAATTATACAGGTATATTGTTGTTGTTAAATCTAAGTACAGCTAAAAGGACTAATGCCATTGCGTTTTGAAGCCGTTGGGTGAGAAAAAAACATCTTATTTCCAAATTCCTAGCACATGCAACAGCCAAGGCCAAGATGAACGTTTTTTTTAGTGTAAGTACTCCGGTCGTTTCATATTACTTAACTCATGTTGACTTGACACATCTGTTAAGAAAATTTTAATTAAAGGTGTACTTACTAAACTAACTTTATTAATTATGTTTTGAAAGTATAAATTTAACTATTACTACTTTATGTAGTTATTTCATACTAAGGGTATAATGAAAAAAAATATATACTAAAATTCTATCGATTTCATAAATTAGACAATTAAACATAATACTAAATTTAGTTTATAACCAAACTGGGCATTTGGTCTAGTGGTATGATTCTCGCTTAGGGTGCGAGAGGTCCCGAGTTCAATTCTCGGAATGCCCCAACTAATAATTTGTAGCATTTTTTTTGCTTCACAGCAAACTATTCATTTAGGTAGCACACTAATAATTTGTAACACACACAATGTGTCATGCTAGCAAAAAATGACACAGCGGAACATGACATGAGGTGTCTAAAATGAACATCGGTTGGCTAAGTGAAACTTGATGCCAACTTTAGGAGGCCACCGATTGGTTTGACCAACTTTTTTTGTACAAAATGCTGAAACAGAAGCAATCTTTAGTACTAGCATTACTGGAAATAAAAATACATTTAGGTAGCAGTAGCACTGGCTGATAAATATACATGGTAACGAGGACGATCAATATAGTTTTATACATTGTAATGTTCATCACTGCCATCACATTTTAAGCCTGTAAGAAAGATAACAAAACTGCACAACAGAAGAAATGTTGCCAGGATAGAGAATATGTTGAATCATAAAGAAATCGCTCAATGAACGTTTTAAATAATGTAATATTGAACCTATATCACACTAGAGGTACCCTTTCCTATATCATCAGTGACAATATGTTCGAAGGAGCTAACTTTATCCATAAAAACTTATGCTTCTCTGAGTAAATCATGTGTGGATGGACTTACAATTTCTCTTGAACATTCAGAGGAGGAGCCTACCGATGCTGTTGCTGAATCTGATCTCTTAAGCTTATTGCTGATGTCCTTCCCATTCGAATCAACGCTCCAATAATCAGTTAACATCCTTTTCACGCCAAAACCAAACTGAGAAGTCTTGTTGTTGTCAAGGAATTGTGATCTGTCTCCTTTTGCTGGACTAATATGCTGGGAAGATGAGATTGGTGTCGTGAAAGGAGCTTTGATCTGACTACCCGAGACGTGTACTGAGATTGGAGTTCCAATGGTTTTATGAGAAATGATGCCTACTTTGGAGATTGGAACAAATTGGTCTGAGAGCTTTGTTAAGTTATCCACGTAAATAAGATCATCGATACGAGCAACAATATTGAATGCCAGGCTCTCAAGAACTCTTGAGTAGCTCTCCAGGATTGATTTTCCAACATCCTAAGAACATCATTGAACAACAGTTGTCAAACTTGAGTTTGCTAAACAAGACAATAGTAGTAGTACTGATGTATTATAACGATAATTGGTCGAGAGAGAAAAATGACAGTAAACGTTGAGTTGATTCAAGTGAAAACCTTGTTATGTTGGATCTTGCTCATGTCTAAGGTGGTCTGAGGAAGACCAGGAAACCGTTGTCTTAAGCAAAGCAAAAGGCTTTCAGCTCTATCTGCAAGCAGGTCCCTCTTATCAACATCAATCATTAAATCTTTAACCATTTCCCATGAGGACTTTGAATTGGATCGGAGGAGACTGGATTTTGCCTGAGTTCTTCTGCGCCACACGTAAATTGAGGCCTCTACTCGGTTTGCTATTTCTAATGCTTGATGCTCAGACGACAAATCAAGGCAGTCGAGCAAACATTCAGGTGAAAATTGATCTGTGGTGATATATCGGTGGATAAGATCACCTAAGCTAGCTTTTCCGTTCTGCAGGGGGATAAAATCCAATGCCAAATCAGCAACAATCTGATGGTTTTAGTTGCATAAGCATAAG